ATAAAAATCACCCCCCCAGGGGGGATGGCCATGCTGCAATCCCTTCTCTTCCATTCTCTTCTTGAGATTTTGTACACATATGCACAGACACCAACATCCTTTTTAAATTATTTTATTTAATTTTACTTATTATTATTATTATTTTAAATTGACCCTAGAGAGACATAGAGAGAGAGGGAGGGAGGGAAAGTGAGAAAGCAAGCCATCAAGTCTGGGACTTGAACCTTGGTTGGCCATGTGGGAATCCAGCACCTTAACCACAACACCACCTGCCAGCCCCATAAACCAATGTATTTTAAATTGCCAGGTTCAGGACTTGAAACATAGTTGACTATGTGGGAGTCCAGTGGTGTAACCATTACACCACCTGCTGGTCCCAGTATTTTATTCTTTGTAATAACTATATAATTATATAATAGTTTGCAATTGCTAAGCAATTAAGAAAATAGTTATAATAATTTTTATACTAGGGTGAGATTATACTTAAATTATCACTTTACATTTATTTTATATAAACAAAATAAGTAACTCCAAAGCTATTCTGTGAGGCCGTTGTAAGGTTTAGATGTTATCTGTTAATCTCGGCCTAGGTTATGAAGTTCCTTTGAATTTTGCAAAGCCAGGGCCTTTGTCTGAATTCTGAACAAAAAGGATTTAAAGAAAAATGGCGGGGCCAGCAGTTAGCGGAAATGGTAAAGCGCTGGCCTTTTATGCTTGATATTTGTTTAGTCTTACATTATGATTTTTTGATCAGAATTAATTTAACTAGTTCTTTGTTGATAAATAATGATGTTGGAAAAAACCTCTCCAAAAAAAAAAAAAGGCTTTATTTTATAAAAGATATTTATATATCATAAATAAAAGTTTACAAAATATAAACCTTTATTTAATCATGAATTTATTGAGGACTTACTATGTACTAGACACAAAAGACAAAAACTTCTTTATCAGAGAACAAAATGTTCCTTATAAGGTTTGCATTCTCTAAGGGTGGATTGAAAGAATCATAATACATGAATCAATAAGTACATGATATGGTAAGAAAAATGCACTGTTATCAGGAAAATAGAGCAGATTAAAGATGAGAAATCTCAGGACCAGCAGTTAGCATAGTGGCTATGTCACTGGACTCCCATGTAGTATACTGTGGTTCGAGTCCAGGACACGGTGGCTTAAACTCATGCCAGGTGCGTGTGTATGCGTGCCCCAGATCCCGAGCGGAGCTGCGTGCCCAAGATCCCGAGAGGAGAATGGAGGAAAAGGGATTGTGGCATGGCCATGCCCCCTGTAGGGTGAATTCTCGCTTTCTGTCTGTCTCTCTCTGTCTGTCTGTCTGGGGAGCACACACGCCCTATACCAAAAACACCTCAAAAAAAAAAAATTAGAAATCTTGGCTGTGAGTACAATTTTAAGTGGGCTTACCTGGGAAAGCCTATCTGAGAATGTGAAAAATAATTAAATGGGCAAATAATAAAAAAGAAAAGTTACCTTTAAAGGATAGTTTTTTTTTTTTTTTTGAGAGATTTTCACTGTAGGGCGCGTGCGCTCGCCAGACAGACAGAGAGAGACATAGAGACAGAAAGCGAGAAATCACCCCCCCAGGGGGGATGGTCACACCGCAATCCCTTCTCCTCCATTCTCCTCAGGATCTTGGGCACGCATGCACACGTGCCCGGAGTGAGTTTTAAGCCACTGGGTCCGGGACACGAACCACGGTCGACTACGTGGGAGTCCAGCGACATAGCCATTACGCTAACTGCTGGTTCCCTAAAGGATAGTTTTTATTAAATGTTTTAGTGTATGTATTTTTCTATAGATACTAATATGTTTATGTCTTTTGTAACAGGTGTTTTATTACTAGCCACATATTATGAAATGATTTACACTTACTAAATAGTGTCCTTTAATAGCGATTCTTTAATAAAGTTCTTGGATACTCCTAGATTTAATGGAAATGTTTCATGGGATACTATTAGTGGTAGGGGAAAACTAATAGTATCCTTGGGTACCTTTCTTTCATTAGAAAATTTAGCACTATATGTAATTTCACTGATGGGGAGTAGAAGAAGTGGAGATATAGCTGCAAATCTTATATATTTTAAAGTTAGCTCATCATTCTCTTTTTTTTTTTTTTTTTTTTAGAGAGATAATTGATGATGGTGTTTAATAGAGCTTACATC